TGTACTTAAGTACAGTAACGAAGTACTTGTACTTCGTTACTTCCCACCACTGCATTTACATATATATTTTGGCGGAGTATGAGCTCTTAAGATAAAATCTATGAATATACATGAGACAAACAAACCTGAGCTCCTCCCTGCGGCGGTTAATCAGTTCCTCGTCGAGCCGATGAAGACAAGTGCCCTCGGATTTAATCTTCTCAAAGTGCTGTTTCACCTCCTCTCTCCATTCAGCCTGATGAGAGCACATTTCTGTTCACCAACTCTGCACCGCTCACACTGCCTCTCTTGTGTGGCATTTCATTTAACTGATTACTTTGTGTGTGTGTGTGTGTGTGTGTGTCTGCTTGTGTACATCAACATGCAGTGGTATGTACAAATTATCGAGTATTTTGCAGCCAACCAAAACAATAAACTGTTCATTTGAAACATTAAAAGTCCAAAATTGATACTACATACATCCTTGTAATCAGTCTGTGTAAACTTTTGCCTGGAGAAGTACATGAATGCACACTAAAATCAGTAAAAAGCAGATAATAAAAATGAAAGCAGCCATACCTGAGACCTAAAGTATGTTTCCTGTGGGGTGGAGAGAACATCAGCTGAGGCTATATCCAGATGAAGGAGGATCTGTCGGAAAGAGGGCCTATTTCTGGGCTTACAGTTCCTGCATACCCAAAACAGGAAACACAGCTGTGTACACGGCCCATGCACAGTAAAATCAATAAAGTCCTCAAAACTGCACACTAACACCTCCCTGTACAGCCACTCTCAGAGCCTGGCTCCACAGCCCTCATCATTAAAATCATCTGCACTGCTATTCATATCCAGGCTGTGCTCACCAGCACTGTCTGAGGAGGATCTTGAAGCCGTCAGGGCAGCTCTCAGGGACAGGCAGCTGCAGGCTGTTGTTTCCCACGCCCCAGATGATGGCAGAAGAGTCAACATCTTTGTAGGGAATCTCCCCAGTTAGCATCTCCCACAGCACCACTCCGAAGGACCTTTAAGTTGAACCGAGACATAAGTGTTTTTACAGAAAGCACAAGACAGTTTAGGTAGTGAGAGTTAAAAAATAATCAAGCTTGTCTGCCTTCTCCCTGTGGACTTGGTGTCATCTACGCTAATACTCTGCTCCATCAGAACCAACCAATCAATGCTCATGTACATGCTGCTCGCACCCTCCGTCTTGCTCTCTGCTATGCTACAGCAGAGGCTGCCATAGCTGCTCAGGCCACAGAAGATGCCATATAAACAATTTTCCTGTTGTTTCTCTACCATTAGCAGATAAACATTGAGCAGCATGTACACAAGCTTTACTGACATCGCTAAGACCCTCCTCCTGGCTCTGATTGGTTGTTTTTGACATTTCTTCAGAGGGCAATAGTAGCCCTGGGAGGAGGTGAAGAAGCTCACACTTTTCAGAAATGATCGGTCTCATATTAATGACAAAATGCTAATTTTAACAAATATGTCAAAAGCATATTTTTGTAAAAGTTATCGCTGTGGCTAGGGGATATGCCTTAAAAACCTATTATGATATAAGCATTTAATATCAGTCAGTATTGATAATTGTTGATATAAATAATGATTAGTTTTTTTGTTTTAAATATCTGAAATACTCCAACTGGTGGAGTGACCTTTCCTGATTTATCCACAGTTTTCATTCCACAATGTTGTTGTGTTTTTTTTTTTTTAAGCAGTTATGAGGCACGGTGGCAAAACTTGAAACCGCTGCTGCGGCATGTTACTCAACACCTTGTTGCTAGGTAACTAAGGAATAAGTGAGTTGCTAGGTAACCACAGAGTGAGTTATGTAGTTGATTCCACCAACCTTGCTAAGCTAGCTGTGAGAGGTTGAGCGGCTAAAGCCTTTCCTCTGCCTACATCCCCCATGATGCTGTGCGGTTCTGGATCAGAGTTCAGTAAATTTTCTATATGTTGAATATCAGACATACTGATTATGTGTATCAGGATATTGTTATTGATTTGTTGTCCAGCCCTAACTACAGCGTTACACTGCTGCAATAATGAATAATAAAAAAAGAACAAGTAAAAAGTTCACCATTCGTACCAAATATCCACTTTTTCTGACACTGGTTCGTTCCGAATGACTTCAGGAGCCATCCAGGCTACAGTGCCGGCGAATGACATCTTGGTGCTCTTGTCACTGAGCTCCTTCGAGGTGCCAAAGTCAGAAATCTTCACCATGTCGTCATGTGTGATCAGCATGCTAAAAACGACACAGAAACAATCAGCTGTGAGACGTTCTCCCAAAAAGACATTTTCTTCAGGCTGATGGATCCCAGTCTTACTTCGGAGATTTGAGGTCTCGGTGGATGATTTTGTGGAGGTGTAAGTAGTTCATGCCGCCTGCGATGCCCATGGACCAGTCAACCAGGAGGGAGGGGGTGATTTTACGGCCCGCTCTCAGCACCTCATACAGCTGGCCTTGAGCACAGTACTCCATCAGGATACAATAACACGGAGCCTGGGTGCACACACCTCTGGAAGGAAGAAGGTCATTCAGATAGTAAAGAAAAGGGAAGAACAATCAGGGGGAGATGACTGAAAGGTTGTCACAGCGACGGCTTCCTCACTTGAAAGTGATGATATTTGGGTGCTTGAGTTTGCGCAGGTGTTTGATCTCGGTCTCTTTTATGTCCCGCACTTTCTTTACAGCCACTTCTTCTCCGTGCAGCTTCCCGAGGAAGACGGCCCCCTGCGCCCCGCTGCCCACCCACTGCAGGTCAGAAATTTCCTCAAAAGGAACCTCCCAGGACTCTAAACACCAACCAGCGAAAACGCAAACTCAGAATTAAACATGAAACTGTATAATGATCTACAGAATATTGGTATTTTGTGGTAATTAGTAGTTCGTTAGAAAAGAAGTCATACAACGGGAGATTTTATCACTATACAACCTCAAATTTAATCGCGTTTTATTGGTGTTTCATGTAATAGATCACAGCAAAGTTGCCAAGACTTACAAGATTCAAGGTGTAACATTATTTTAAAAATAATGTGTCTTTAACCTCCTTTTTTCTGTTATCCCTAAATTAATTGCAGTGCATCTTAAAGGTTATTTTAATTATATTAAATCTCAGTATAAATGCACCTATTCTATCAGTAGTTTGTTAGAGAGCATTAGTAAACAAATAATATCCTGAAGATCAATGAAACCACTGGATAAGTGATCCACAAATTTAAAAAGTATGGCAAGCAGAACCCATAGTGACTCTGGAAGAGATGCAGATAATCTGTTGACAGGACAAGGATTATTTATCCACTCAAAAAATATGGGCTTTATCAGAGAGTGGTTAAAATAAAGTCATTTTGAAAAGAAAAAACATAAAATCCTCCACTTACAAGAAGTCCCATGTGGGAAAAGATCAAATAATACCTAAATTGAGGTGTCTGGTTTACATGCAAAACACTTAACTATATGAAATTAACACAGGAGATCGCACTTAACACACCATCCCCATGGTGACACACGGTGTGATCATACTGGATCACATCAAACATACAGCAAGAGCTACAGAGAAGTGGTTTATATCAAGACATATTCACATGTCAGAATGACTTAGTCAGTGTCCAGATTGAAATTCAATTGAGAATTTGTGCTTTGCAAAGGCTGCAGCTGTGACTGTAGTGAAAGGTGCTTATGAAAGGTAATGGCTCAGGCTGGCTCTATATGTGCAGCACCTCACTTTTGGGGAGTTTTTCTTTTTTTTTAGAAAATCGTGAAAACCGCGAGTCATCTTCCTTTCACTTTACAATAATGCACTTCCTGTCTGATGCAATCCCAGTAAACTACAGTGAAGCAAAATGGAAGCAAAATGACAAAATGTGAAAAGGGGTCTGAACCCTTTTGCAAGGCACTGATAGATAAGGTGAACTTGCGAGCATGTAGGAGTTGGAGAGCGTTAGCAAATACCAGGCCTGTGTTTGTATCAGAAGGACAATCACCAACAACTTCAATGGTCTAACAAGAGGCTCATCAGCACTTTATCAAGCAAACCATTGCATTCGAATCCATAGATAAGAAAAACACAGAGGAAAGAAACCCACCAATCCACTCATAGTTTAATCTGTCTGTCGTCTGTCAAACTGACATTGCTTAAATGGCTGTGAAGGCTTGGTCGCTAAAGACAGACAAGCCTGGGAGAGTAAAAGAGACACACAAATCAATTCTTCATGATGTCCACTGAAGGGTTGAGATCTCTTGGGAGCAGCAGCTGCGGAGGATGATGATGCACAGGATGCCCTCCCCCCACCCCCACCCGTTTCCCTCTCCCCACCTGACCAGCTGTGACGTTCACTGAACTGGGCTGACGGTACTGAAAACACAGACACGCTGCCAGATGGACGAGGTAACACTCAGTAAGCACCGAAAGTAATGAGTAATGTTAGTTTTCTAATAGAATAAATATAATAAAGTGGTGTTCTAATTATAGCTTCAGATTCAGTGGCTTGGATTTATCTTCTTCTGCCACGTTTTGCTTTATCTCCACTACATTTCAGGGCTTCAGACATAACAGCAGTGGTACATTTTAAAAAATATATCAAATACTTGAATGTATAAAACAGTAACTAGTCTTCTTGCTGCTTAATTTAATTGTGTGAGCTCCAGCTCATTTAAATGACAACTGCTAACAATCTTTATGTTCGTCTACAGAGGTGGAGATTTAAATTGCGTACTTTATTTATTCCGTCTACACATTACATGTTCAATTTCAGAGTGGTAGTGCACACAAATACATCAAATTTGGACTTTACTGAGACATCTTTGAGGTCTAACAATGTGGGTAGGCTTAAAAAATCTCTAAGAGCTTTGAAAAGATATTTGCTACCTCAGAGATTTCTTCTGTTTTTACTTTAGGTCATAATTTAATATCTCATATAATCAAATAAGTTTTAATACCAGACAAATATGACTTAATTAAGCCCTTTTCAAATCATGGTTTAATTTGTTAAAGAGGAAAATAAGTCGGTATAGAGCAGTAGTTGCCCCCTAAACTTAATGAATCAGTTTCTCATAACTATCAGGGAGTCGTTTACGTCGCTGGCGAGGAACTCTGGCCTCCGCTCCAAAACTTCTAAAAGTCGCTGTTTGACTTAGCTCTATTGATGGGTTTTATGCACGAATGGTTGCTTAAAGTAATGGGTCCAGACTTTGACTAGGCCGTACATTTTTGAGCCAAAGGGTGGTGGACTTGCTTTGGATCATCGTACTGTTGCAGAACCTATAATTATAAAGTCACAAACTGATGGACAGACTTCATACAGCTAAAGAGTAAAATTCATCGTTTCATAGTGAGTTGTCCAGGTCCTGGAACAGTACAGCAGACCCAGAGCATCACACTCCCACTGCTATGTTTGACTGTCAGCATAATGATCTTCGTCTGAAATGCTTTGTTAAGTTTGGAAACAATTTTCATTTTTTCCAAGTCAGCCAGCTCAATCAGGAGGATTTGTTGTAAATGTAACCAGTTTGGATCTCTCCTGTGGAGGATATTTTTTCCCCTTTTCTTTCTAGATGTTAGCATGAACTCTGCCCTTCACTGAAAAAACACCTGCAGTGTTTTAGATGTTGTCTGGGTTCTTTCTGATCTCCTGGATGAGTCATTCATGAGTTATTTTGGTAGGTCGGCCACACCTGGGAAGGTTCACCGCCGGTCCATATTTTCTCCATGTTTGGATAAAGCCTTAGAAATGTCTCTGTACACCTATTTTGACTGATAGATCTCAGTTTGTTGTTGAATTATTTAAGGTAGAGCTGCTTGATTGTGACAGATTTGTCCTATTTTAAGGATTTCTTACATTTTTAGATCTGCCAGCTATCAGGTTTGCATGTAGAGAGCAAAATTGAACTGAAGAATTAGAACAATCAAAGTTAATTCATGAAAACAGGAAAAATTTCATGGCACTTTTTGATTGTTTGTAGGATCTCAACAAGAGTTAGGATTGAACAGAAACTTTTTTTTGCTAATTTGAAACGTAATTAATCTCTAAAGTAATCCAGAATCAGTCAGTACTTTAGGTATTGGCTAATGTGTTTAACCTTGACCTACCTTTTCATTCATTTGAATTATTATGCGTTCATAAAAGAATGTAAAACCAGCTGGTGTGAATTCACCCTTAGATTTCTTTGTTTTTGTTTGTTTTTACTTAGCTAAATAAATCTCATATGTATTAACAATAAATTTTGTTTGATTACCCTAATTTTCAGTGCCAAATGATTTATCTATTAGTCCTTCCACTTTGGTTGAAATGTAATCATTCTAGATATGATGGTAAATATGTCTACTCCTGATAAATATACAGTATATACATATTAGCCATGTCGAAAGGCAAGAAAATTATTCAGACTTCGGATTGATCTTTGGATAACGAGGCTGATTCTGATAGTTATTGATGTAGTTTGTTGTAGTTTCTTCATCCTGCAGCTGAATTTAATGCACAGCACAACAAAATAACGTCTAATAACAAACACAGAGGCTGACAGAGAACAAGCGAGTCGTACCTTCCTGGTTATGTTTGTGTTCAGTGGAGTAGGCTTTTCCAATCATGGTCCAGACTGGTTTCAGGCAGCCAAATAGTCCCTCCAAAAATCCTCCACTGCCTGACTGGAGCCTATTGTTCTCCGACTGGCTCCGGACGGCTCCGGCCTCCGGACTGTGGCCCGCCTCGGCCCCGCCGCTGCCGCCACACTGACAGGCCTCATGTTCATGGAGTTTTAGCACGCTGTTGTCGAAGTGGGCTGTGCATCCATCGCTGGGGCTCGGGCTGCTGCCGCCTGGCGCCCCGTGCACGGTGGGTTCAATGGACAGTACGTTACGAAGCACACACTGTGTGGGGGTCAGGTCCGTCTCGGGGGTGCAGGCAGGGGTGTCTCCATCGAGTCTCCGATAGGGGGGTTCTGAGATGGGGGTGCTGAAGCCTGACAGGGAAGGGGAAGGGGCGCGGGGCTCATGGATACAGGTCCCACTCATCAGGGGTTTCCCCAACACTGCAGGTTAGGGAGGATGGAGGAGGAAGAGGTGAGAATAAAAGCCTAGAGGGGAAAAACAAACACATCAGAATGTGCTTTTTGGCTTATCTAGTTGTTCTCTCCAGAAAATTGCTGTTCAAGATCACAAAAATATCTATCCACTAGAGATTTTTTTTTTTTTTTTACCCACTGATAAATAACACTACTGGATAATGAAGTATGGATTTCCACTGCAGGATTTCACAAAGAATATACTTTTTCTTAAAATGTGCATTGAAAGAAAAACAACTCATTTTGCTTGGTGTGTATTTGTGTTGCTGACATCACACGAAGCACAAGATCTGAGCTTTTCAGCTGGCATGGTAAACATTTTGGCAGACAAACAACTTTTCACAGATTCTGAAACAGATTCTCCAGTATTTAAGTTCTGCTTCAGTTGCTTCAACCTTACATGTTTGTGGCAGAATCTGACACTGATGACTCCCAATAAAGTACACTGTCTTCAAGACTAACTGGTGCAAATCTGTTGTTTAGCTTATCTGTTTGGTACTAACCCCTCAACATGATCCCCTCATACACATTTTTGATCAATAAACATATACAAGATTACGCAGTATATGTTGAAATGTGGCCAAAACATGAAATATGATTGAAAAGGAAAGCAAAACCTCTACAGCCAGTGTATTTATTTAGAATAATTTCAGTACAGGTCCTATAGGCCAACATGTTTTTCTTTGCTAATTTAAAGATGATTGGTTAACTTTAACTAGCAATAAAACAGACTTGGACCTGAAAAGCGTCTCAGTTAACCAGATAAAGCATGTTTTTTTTTTTTTAACAATCTGGAATGAAACGACTCCCAGAGCTCCACTGACAATGATTTCTGTTCTAGTCCTGTCGGATTCTCTCTGCAAACACTTACACATATTTCACCATTTCCAATTTTTTCCCCAACAAAAAAACATAAATTACAAATAAAATAAAAAAAAATATCCATTGCATTGCGTCTTGTGATGTAACGTAGAAGCTTGTTAGTGGAAAGATAAATAAAATTTTGACAAAATAAGTATTTACAACTAAACTAAAAAAAAAATTAAAATTAATCTGAGCATCCCATCATGTTATACAAATGAGAAACTACATATAAAGTAACTTACAGAACAGTCCAGCGGCTTTACATTTTCGGAGCTGTCCGGTGCTGAATTGACTGCCTTTACACATATCTGTTGAAGCTGACACTAACTTTTCTTCCTGAAAATATTAAATTATTGGCCTGAGCACAACCAAATTTTGGCAGAATAAACAAAACATGAGGCCAAGATTATGAATGAAACACATCTGAATTGTTAATATTTAGCAGTAAAATTTCAGAATGAGGAATTTCACTAAAATGTGGGGAAACAAGAAAACTAAATGTTTGAAATTTGTTTTTTTTAGAATGGTTTGTTTTAAATTTAATTACAAAACATATAGTTACAGATATACAAAACATCTATGAAATGATAATCTAAAGGTAACAAACTATATTTAAAGTGAGTTACTGAAATGGTGAAGTGTCCAGAGCTGGAAAAAACTGGCATCCTCACTATGAGTGTCTTGTAAAATTTTCACTGACTTTACTTCCCTAAATCATTCACCATAAAAAAAAAGTATTCACAACTATTGAACTTTTTCACATTTTGTCAGATTATAACCTCAATGTTCCGTGTATTTTCTGGCATTTTTACAACAACTGTGAAGGGAAAAAAAGGGAGACACGGTTTGGATTTTTAAAACAAATAAAAACACGTGGTGTGTAAAATCCACCATCTGAAAATGGAGCTTGGGTTGGCAACTGCAAGCCAACCCAGACATGACCATCCAATAAAACAAGCTCCTATGGGGCTCATGGTAACTCTGGAGGAGCTGGAGAGATCCACAGCTCAGGGTGGAGAATCTACTGAATACCTTTTGATTGTGTCTGTATGAAAGAGTGGCAGGTTGCTTTTAAAAATGCCATAAGAAGTTGTGTTTTCCATTAGCCCTGTAAGAAACACAGCCAACGTGGAAGAAGTGACTCTGGAGACCTAATGTAACTTTTTGGCAAACATACAAATGCAGTGTGTGTGTGTTACTGAAAATAATAAGTCTGAAAACACCATTACCTTGTGGAAACAAGGTGTTGGTAGCATCATGCTGTGTGCTGCAACAAACAATGACCCAGTTCATACAGCTGGAGCTGAAACTGAACGGTTCAGATGTGTTAGAAGTCAAGTCCAGACTTAAATTCAGTTTGGAAGCTGTGGCAAAAAAAAAAAAAAGGTCCATTGCATCAAATCCACATAAAACCACTGAAGTGTTTGTTTGTAGCATGAAAAATACGTGAAATGTTTAAGGGGCATAGTCACTTTCTCAAGGCAATGTAGCGAATCCTCATGTCTGTCTATGAATGGGAAACAAGGACGGCCCAGAGGAGTCATCGCCAGAGGAAATGGGCTTTATGAATGAACCCACCAGTGGACGTGGAGGTTCTTACACTCTTCAACACACCTGCTGGTCACCTGCCCTTTCAAACTGCATCAGTGTGTGACAGCCCTGACCAAGAGTAATGCACCCCAGTGAAGACCCATTGTGTGCGCTGGAGAATTGCATAACCACCACAGTGCGTATGTATGAGCCGCGCATTGGCGGGGAAAGGCATGTGTGAGAGCGAAAGCACATGTAGCAGAAAGCACATACCGTCCAACAGCTCGGCGCCTTCTACTGCACCACTTGCATGAGAGTGAAATGAGAGCGCGAAAACAAATGTGTCGGGTAATAAACATCCAACGGGCCTGTGCGAGGCGGGAGTACACGCGCGCACACACGCACACGCACGCACTCACGCCGGAAGATCAATCTTTAAATAACCGAGGATGTGATGATGACACTCAACAGCATCATAGCCGACGTGCATGAATTGCGAGCCTACTATGGTCCATGCCAAGTGAGACTGCCGCAGCGACTGTATACGCGGACCCAGCGTTGGCACCAACACTCTCCATATATTTCGCAATGTGCGCTTTCTGTGTGCACAAGTATGATGTTTGTAGCCCTCATCGACCATCAGTCGCTTCTTGGAGGCATCAGTTCTGTTGGTGCAGTATGAGCGGCGTGAAGCCACCGCACCGTTAAAGACCTGCCTAAACCGTCCCCGTGATGCCGATTACTCATTCAATCGGCATTTAACCGGATGGCATGACATTCCCATACCTTTCTTGCCTGGGTTGATGTCGCGTTGTCAAGTGAGAGGGTGGGCTCGGCTTTGTATTTGTCCGCCTCAGTGAGCTGGTTGTTGTTTTCCTCCGTTCCGGGCAAGCCTCTCCGGTTCCCAGCGACTATTTTCCACGAGTTGTTCCACGTTACTGGGACGGATCCCAGCGGGTAAACGGTGTTATCAATAACCGGGGACCCATGCAACGTGAGGCGCGCTGGGTTTTTTAGGGGGGAGGAAGGGGGTGGGGAGGGAGCTGTCTCCTTCCCAGTGCTGAATTGACGTCACGGAAGTTAGACCTGGGCCGCAAGGGGGCGTCGGGAGCCAAAACACAAAAGAGTCCGTACAGGGATTTATTTTTCTTTTATTTCACCCGCAAAATGTGACAAATAGTCATCATTCCCTCCATTGATTCTTTTTTATCCTTGAGCTTCAGCTGATGGTTCGAGGTTAGGAACATGCGCACTGAAGCTGCTGCCGCTTTTGTAGCTGCTGATGTGCCCTCCAGCAAGACACACTTTAAACTCCCTGCCGGCCACAGAGATGCTGGTGCTCCACCAATTATAATTTCTGCCTCCATCGATGAGGAGGAAAACTGCATCATTATCTCCATGTAAATAAGATGGACAAATACTTGAGATGAAGACAACTTTTAACAATGCCACAACAGCAAAATTATAAAAATCTACAAAAGAAGACAGTGATTCTACTCAGCTCAAAAAACATTCTACATGAAGAATTCAACAAAAACAAAAATAAAAGAAAGAAAGCTAAAAACAAAACTACACGCACCCAGCAAAATATAATTAGAAAAATCAAAAAGTAAAAAAATTGATTAGATTTTTAATATATGATTATATTAGGTTATTGACCCTACAAAGAAACAAAAAATAAATCCACTACCCACAACAGAAAACAGCTAAACAGGGACAAAAATAAGAAAGAAGATGTGACGTTTGTAGAATATAGCATGTTACAGTATTTTAGAAATCAAAATCCTTTCATTGCAACTTGGTATTTTGACAGCATTTTGCTTACAGTTTAACTGTTGTTACTCATTACTTCAAATTCGATTTAAAAATCAATAAATCATCAACCAGTGACATTTCTGGCCGCTGATATAAGGCTTTTTTTGTGGTAGCGCATACAGTACAATTTTTGACGCTATTTTGTAAAACACTCTGTTTTGATGTTTAAGTTGGGTGTTGAATACAGTGATCCCATTGTTTCATTCATCAAATCTCTCCAACAGTTATTCGTTGCTCCTGTTTTGCGAAAGTTTGCCTGCAATACCACACTGTGTCCAGAGGGGGGCAGCATGTTTATTCCGCTTCTGTGTCATTTAGAAAACCTGCGCGCTTTTTTCCCCTTTAGAGTTGCCGTAGCTCAACACGGCGGGATCAACTGAATGGATAACAACTTAGCATGTGCTACCAAACTGTGTTTAAGATCCACTAAATAATATTTAACTAAACGGTTGGGAGAGCTGACAGCACAAGACAACTTTTACAGCTCATAACCTATCATTTCTAAAACGAGCATTGTTAAATTAAGTGTTAATTTGGGAACTTATTTAGCTAGCTAGCTAAGCGTGTCAGAAGTAAAATACTAAGTCTGTCTAAGGTTTAAGATTAAACTATCAGTGTTTGGTGATCCATGGTGTTTCTCCGGGGTCTAGAAGTAAGATTTGACCGCGGTGAAGATGTGCTCTCTGGCTCTGTTTCCCCCTCCGCTGCCCCCCGGACAAACCACTCTGTGCGAATCCAACAACGAGCTTCTTTGTGGAACCAACAACTCCGAGGCGAGACAGGTTCGAGTGATTTTGGCTGTCATTGCAGTTGTGTCCATAGTTGTTCAGACAGCTCACGGTGCATGTTTTCCTGCAGGACTCCAGTGCGCTGAGTCTCCATTTCCCCAGAGAGTCCCTGAAGCTCCACAGCCGCACAGAAAGCAGCAGCAAAGCAGCTTTCCTGGACCACTCGGAAACTCTGTGGATGAGGAGCGCTGCTGCTTGGTAGGAAACCACGGACATGTTGTTATTTTATCCACGACATCTGTGATATAACAGCTCGATGTGTGCAATCGTTGGAGGATTTAGACCCTAGCCTGACTGATAGTCCCTAAACATTTCCAAAATGTCCAAATCCAGCATTTTCCTTGAGAAAAAGAGGTCAGAAGAATAAAACTGAGAGGATTTTATGTAATAGATCAGCTTTCCAGGTATTTACTGAAGTCTCTGCTCTCTTTAGGTATATATGAGAGCAGGCTACATTCCCCTGAAGAAAAAAAAAAGGTTTTGTTTTAAAGGCTTTACAAGTTTTTTCCCTCTTCAACCTCATTTTTAAACATCTCACTCATGACAAAGAATGACAAACTTTGCACTTTCTTTCTGCTGCCTCAGCAACTCTCTCAAATGACCAGGATTACTTGCATCTGTCTATCTATCTATCTGAATATAAAGCTTGTATACATTTATTTCACAACACACAGAAGTATTTCAAGCCTCTTTTTCTTATTGCAATTTTGCTACTTATAACTTACAGATGCTTAAAACCAAAACTGTGTTTCAAAAAGTTAAATACTACAGATCCATAATATTTTTAAGGCTCTGAAAAGTATGTTGGTTTCAACGCCCTCAATACTTGGCTGGTTTCCCTTTTCTATGAATTACTGCATCAGCGTGGTGCGGCATGGATGTGGTTCTGCTGAAGTGTAATAGACGTCTAAGTTGCTTTTATAGCTGCATTCATGTCATCGGCATTGTTGAATCCGATGTCTCTCAACAAGCATCAATTCTCTATGGAGTTTTATATCTGGAAGGTTAACTGGTTAGCCAAACACACCGACACCACAGTCACTAAATCAACTTTTGGTTTCTTCTGCAGTGTGAGCTGGTGTTAAGTCCTGCTGGAAAATGAAATCGGCATATCCATAAAGTTTGTCAGTAGAAGGAAGCATGAACTGCTCTAAAATTTACCCAAGTTGTGACCTGTCCTTGGTTTGACTTCCAGATTGGAGAAACTTACATAATTTATTTATCTTCTTTTTTTAAATAAGAAGACATAAAAAACTATTCTTAATTTACGTGCTAAGAGATTCAAGTTATTAGTTATGCCAAAGGTTTGTTAAACCTTTTTTGAGGCAGAAACGTCTCGGCATGTTTGCATATTTTAAGAAGCATAAGTGATCCCTCATCCCCTTTGGGGGTTCTGTAAATCCAAGTTGTTATGAAATATCTTTGAGGTCTAAAAAATATCTGTTATGCACAGAAATTCACAGTTAAATATGTTTTTATCATTTTCTGACATTTTAGATTAAGATTTTCTTCTTACACATATTGAAAACTTGCAGATCCTTTTCCCTCTTTCAAACCTGACATCATCATGTGAGCTCATGCTGCCAGTAAAAGCTCCGAAAGAGCCATAAATGTGAAAAGGGCTCAAACTTCCATTAAATCTCGACAGCTAAATGAAAGGATACAGCTGCCTCTCATAGTCATGCAAATCAGCTCGACGTGCTAAGCAACTTTTAGCATATTTCCTACCTCTGATGCAGCAGCTGATGTCAGTGTTTTACAGCCTTTATTGGACTGTCAAAGATCGCTAATTAGTTCTGTGTGTTCCAGGCGGGACGGTGGGTTCACTGGGCTGCTGAATGAAATTACCACCTCACATGCAGAAGGTATGGAAAGCGCCAACATCTCATGTGTTTTATTGAGCCTTAAGTCCCGTTGCGAGGCGCCAACTCTGCTCTTCAACAGTGCCAAAGTGGCTGTCGGTGACGTCTGGATGTATCCTGGCGTTGCTCCGATGGGTCTCCTCCTTTCACGGCTCCCTGTATCCTCATGTCACGGTAAGCTGCCTCTGTTTGGCTCATTTGAAATACAAAGCATGTGGAGAGATTCTGAAGTTTTTTATTTTATTTTAGCTGAGCAGTGAGGACATGATCGCTGAGTTTTCCCAGTTGCTAAACTGGTAAGAGCGGTTTTTATGTTCTATATTTTTATGTTTTTAAAGGAGAACAATGTGAGACTGTAATCTTTCTGTTCTGTTGTATTTACTGAAGTCGTACCCTTTCTGTGTTGCCAGGTCTGATTGTGTGGTGCGAGCCTTCGCCTGGCATCCCCACACTGATAAGTTTGCTGTTGCTTTGTTGGACGACTCCATCAAGATCTACAATCCCAAAAGGTACCAGAACTACGGACTCGGCGGTGCCAAAATGGCAGCAAAAGATCCAGTCAGTCAGATTTCTAACCAGCGCAGTTTTAGTGTTAAAACCTTTAAAACTGATTTCGGCTCTCATTACCAAAACGGCATACATACTGTTTATGATTTTTATGCAGGCATTTTATGTTAAAGGGCAGCTTTTCAGGTTTTCACTGCTTTCAACCAACAGATTGAAACAGTTTGTCAGTGGTGGGACATATATTATCATTACCAGATAAAGTATGTTATCACTTAACACCAAATTAATGACAAGTTTATATTGTTTATAAAACATACGCTCTTTTGAAATAATACGTATCTGCTTAGACACAAGAAATTTACAGTTTGTGAATTTTAACAAAGTAAAAATCAGATGTTTACTTCGTGGCACTTGGCTACCAGAATAAACACACATCTCTTAGCAACAAATTGTTATTGTTCAAATAACATAGGATTTCTTCTGCTCTTTTGAAAAACTACTTAATTCTTAAAAAATGTGCAGTTGGTGAATTTTACAGAAAAGTGAAAATGTTTTTTTTTTTTTTTTTTTTTTTTTTTTTCATTTTGGGGGAGAATTATTTTAATAAAAACTATT